CAGTTCAATTACTCAATGTCAATACACACATTACATTCCCCTCTTTTATATACCAGCCTACCCTATCTAGCAAATACTAGACCATTCGCCAAGATACGGGATAGTTCTAGAAACAAGAGAGCGTGAGAATTGTCACGTGATCTCAATGACGCAAAACAGCAAAAGCAGGAAAGGTTCATATTGTTACGTCAGTGTTCGTTTGTTAATTTTTCGTAGAAATTATTTCCGAAGAACTTCAGCGACACAAGTCCTTCTTTGAAAATAAAACTAGTTTATTATTTCTCAATTCAACTTTGCAATACATTTCATTTCCACAGTCAATTTAATTTAAACACATGCTATAATTCAGAACGATTCACGTACTTTACTTACGGTGCCTACTTCCGCTTGACTCGATTATCGGCGTCTATAACTTCAATCTCCCTGTCTGCTACTCTTGTTTCGATTAATCTGTCTCGTTTCGTTTTTCCCTGGCACTTATTTTGATTTAAAAATAATTATCTCCTAAGAAATAATTACTAATCAAGGGTGCTAGAAGATCAAACAATCCTCCTTCACCCTGCTCGTGGCATAATGTTATACTTCAATTAGTGGTCAGCGGAGTAATGAGCCGTATTGGCGAAGGGGTAATAATAGTATTCAATAATTTAATCAGAAGGATAATTAATTAATTAACTAAAATAATCTGTCTTGCTTTATCTGGTGCGCTTATATACAGGAATAGGGGCATCTAGTAAATACTGGATTCTTCGTGACGTTCCCCGATCCTTCTTGAAACTCATTACGTGTTACCAGCGTCACGTGGCTTCCGCTATCGTAACACTGCCCCTTCCTTAGTATTGTTCGAAACAAACAATAGCCACTTACATTAAACCAATAGATAATTAACAATAACTTAATTAAATGTACAGAATTCACAAACACAAAATTAAAACTCAACAAAGTCTCTTAGTTTTACAGGAAGTATCTTCTTCCATACTGGTCTCTGTCTCGTTGGCTTCTGCTTCACGTAAAGTTCATCTGCTCCATTAGAAAATGTCCTATTATCAGTAATAGTCACATCAGTAGTAGTAACTTTATCAAGGGCTTCACTGTTTCCCTTCTCAAAACCGAGTAGAGTTTCTTCTCCGACAGTGGATTTTTCAGATGACACGTCTTCAGCAGCGTCATTTGTTCTATTGTTCACGTCGTTCCAACTGAAATGTCCTGGACCGTGATAACGCCAAAGCCTGCACCACCTTTGGCTTACCTCGCCGACCACATTTTATTCGGAAAGTCATGTCTGAGAGACGATCCATTTTGTCATATGGGCCTTCCCATGGAAAAGACAACTTAGGAGACTTCCCTTTGGCTTTCCTGGGATTATACAACCACACCTTGTCTCCTGGTACAAAGCTGACTTCAGTAGATCTCTTATCATAACATAGCTTCATGGAATCAGCAGACGTTTTCAAGTTTGAACGCACTTGATGATGAATATCATCCATCCTTTCAGATAACACTTTCACGAACTCTGACACATTTTCAGGGAACGTATCGTAACGTGGGCGTCTTGTTATCAGTTCCACTGGCAACCGAAGTTCCCGACCAAACATCAGCTTTGCTGGAGTGTATCCAGTGACTTCATGCTCTGCTGTTCTATAGGCCATCAACAGTGGAGAGAGTAAGACATCCCAGTCATCTTTGCGGCTATTACAAAACTTTGCCAATTTCTGTCCAAGTGTCCAATTGTACTTTTCTACCATACAATCAGACTGTGAGTGAAGTGGCATTGTCCTGGTATTTCGTATGCCAAACAATTTGCAGCATTCATGGAACACAGCTGATTGAAAGTTACGGTCTTGATCTGAATGCAGTTCGTGTGGCATACCA